TCTTTTTGATTTTATATTCAGAAAGTCTCTTTTTATAAATATTATTTATTATACAATGTATATATACCTTTGAGTTAACTAAGATTATATATTATATAAATATATATATATTTGGAGAAAATATATTTCATCATGCAGTTTTTTTCTGTTAAGTCATTAAAGAGAAGATAAACAAACTTCCAGCGGATACATTGTACCATGTATGGCGTTTCCAGAGGTCAAGGGTGTCCGTCCACTCCTGGACGAGGCAGCCTCGCTATCACACGACCAAGCTAAGGTCCTTTCCCCACTGCTCCCTGAGCAAGACTGTCCGAGGCCACGGCCAGCAGGTCCGATCTGCTCCAGGGCTTTTGCACAGGCTTCCTCTGTCCTGAGCCAGCTTCCAACAAGGATGTGTTGGAAAAACCATCCTGGCTTCATTCATTTCATAGTATCAAGTCCCAGGTATCCCTGCAGGATGTGGCCCAAGGCCAGCGGGCCACGGCGGGCCATTGCCCTCATCTGTTCCTCGCCATGTTTTCACTCCACCCACAGGGAATAGGGTTTTCTCAACTGAGAGCAGGTTTGGGGGTTCTAGCTGGCAGCATGGCTAAGCTTAGCTTATGCCCTGGATTGAGGAATGGTCCTCTGGCGGGATGGCCGTCTCCTCTGATGAACGCACAGTGTCAGGAGGAATGCGGGGGGGGGCACAAGGGGATGCCCACCTAGCCAGCTACATCAGCTGAACCAACCTGGCCATCAGTGGGGTGACAGATGTCACAGCCGGGTTGCCGTCACATCCAGGACTTTCTTGAAAATGAAACCTGTCTGAATGAAAACAGTCCATCCCCACAGGGAGAGCTGCAGAGGGCAGTAGCCAGAAGATGTGGCAGGCCCAGGCCGGCGGGACAGATGCCATGGATGCTCAGAGTGGTGGTCAGGAGGGACCCGCAGGGTGCAGGCCCAGGAGAGTGCCTCTCTGGCCTCATCTGACATCACTGCTGCACCATCCTGGCGAGGAGAGGTCATGCCTCAGTTTTAGTATGGTAGGCACGTCAGTCTTCAGACATTCCCATAAAATATCACCCTTGGCGTCCTCGGCACGGCGTCTTAGAGAGCAGCTGGGTATGCTCTCCTTCCTTCTTCCTCTCGTTCTCACTTCACCACGAGAAATGGCAAGCGTGGGAGGGTGAGGCCGCTGCCTGCCACGGGCCTGTCCGAGCTCCAACCTCAGGCCAGCTCCGGGAAGCTCAAAGACTCGGTTTGGCCTGGGACAGGTTTATGTTGCCCCTGAGAAGCTGAAACCACAGAACAGTTGCATTTCTCCTCACACCTTGCATTTCGCTTTGACTCTTCGCTTGGCTTTTCCACGAAAAAGATGCAGAGCATCTACCTGAAATGCTTGGGAGTGGGGGCATGCCAGAGCACCAACTGTCCCAAGGCTGGGACACCTGCACACACACAGTGAGAGGTCTCTCGGGGATGGGACCCAAGTCAATATGCAAGATTCATTTCTGTTTCATCTGCACCTTATGTAACGTGAAGGGAGTTTTATACAATTATTATTATTATTATTGTGTTGGAGTCTCACTCTGTTGATCAGGCTGGACTGCAGTGGCACACTCATGGCCACCGCAGCCTTGACCTGCTGGGCTCAGGTGATCCTTTTGCCTCAGCCTTCCAAGTAACTGGAACCACAGGTGTGCACCACCACACCCAGCTAATTTTTTGATTTACTGTAAGAGATGAGGTTGTGCCATGTTTCCAAGCTGGTCTCGAACCCCTGGGCTCAGGCAATCCTCTCGCCTGGCCTCCCAAAGTGCTGGAAAGACGTGTGAACTACTGCACCCTGGCCTATACAATTATTTTTAATAACTTTGTACATGAAATAAAGTTCTGGCTGCATTTTGACTGCCACCCATCACATGAAGCTGAGTATGGAATTTTCTACTTGTGGCATCAAAAAATTTGGGGTCGGGTGTTGGCGGTTGACACTATAATCCTAACAATTGGGAGGTCGAGGCAGGAGGATCGCTTGAGCCCAGGCGCTCGAGACCAGCCTGGGCACCATAGCAAGATTTGTCTCTACAAAATTTGTTTTTTTAAATGGCCGGATGTGGTGGTGCACGCACCTGTAGTCCCAGCTACTACTCAGGAGGCTGAGACAGGAGGATCACTTGAGGTCACAAAGTCAAGGCTGCAGTGAGCTGGGATCGTGCCACTGTGCTCCAGCCTGGGTGATAGGGTGAGACTTTGTTTCAGAAAAACCACAGGCTTTGGGTCTTAGAGCCTTTTGGGCTTCCAGATGATGGGCACTCGGCCCGTGTGCATCTATCCTGGCTTTCTCGGCACTCTACTTCACACCCAAGATGGCCAGACACTTAAAAGGCCCCTGTTCCCACTTACAAGGGCCACTTGTAACCCTGTGGCTAATCCTGTTCTGTGATTAAAGAGGGTAGTTTACAGCTGAGCTTGAACACTACTCCTCCATGAGCACAAGTACCTTTACAAACCCAAAAGCAAGAAGACATTTTCAAAAACCCAAAAGAGAGGTGAGGTGACTCACACTTGTAATACCAGCACTTTGGGAAGGATGAGGTGGGAGGATGGCAGGAGCCCAGGAGTTCAAGGCTACAGTGAGCTATGACTGTACCACTGTACTCCAGCCTGGACGACAGTGAGACCCCGACTCTAAAAACATCAATAAACCCAGGACAGACAACATACGGAGAACGTCTCTTTCAGGCAATACGGAAGAAGGGCAGGAAGTGAGAGCTCCCAGTGAGGACGAGGCGCAACGGAACAAAGAGGACTGGAGAGAACAGGGCGGGGGTGATGGCAGCAGTGTGTCCACCACTGACTCCCGCGTGGGCCCCGTGAGTGTGGACATACCTTTCTTATGAGCCAGAGTCTCACTCCGCTGCCCACCGCAGCCTCGACCTGCTGGGCTCAGGCAATCCACCTGCCTCGGCCTCCTGAGTAGCTGGGACTACAGGCGTGCACCATCACGCTCGGCTAATTTTTTTTTTTTTTAATCTTTTGTAGAGATGAGGTCTCGAACTCCTGGGTTCAAGCAATCCTTCCACCTTGGCCTCCCAAAGTGTGGGGATGACAGGCGTGAGCCACTGCACTCAGCCTGCAAGTGAAGTCAGTGTGGCTGTGTACATGGCCACTGTTTCTCCCACCTTAGCAGAGAACTTTCTAGGAGGCAAACATTTATCTTGCCATGAATCTTACACTCCAAAAACAGAGCCAGCCCTGTGGAGCCAAGATGCTGGGAGAGTTTCAGACATGGGCCTTCCCTGCTAATTGTGTGGACTTACCTGGGACTCCCAATGGCCAGGCTGTCTCCCACATGTCTGCACCGCCATGTCAGTCTGTGCACGCGGGCGGTCTTGCCAGCTGATGAGGAGCTTCAGAGCATCTTGCAGTAACTTCTGACATTCACACGCTTGTTTTTTTTGGGAGTCGGAGTCTCACTCTGTTGCACAGGCTGGAGTACAGGGGCATGCTCACAGTCACTGCAGCCACAACCTGCAGGACTCAGGCAATCCTTCCGCCTCAGCCTTCCAAGTAGCTGGAACTACAGGCGTGCGGTACCACACCCGGCTAATTTTTGATTTATTGTAGAGATGAGGTCTCGCCAATTTGCCCAGGCGGGTCTCGAACCCACGGGCTCAGGCAATCCACTCACCTCAGCCTCCCAAAGCGCTGGGATTACAGGCTGAGCCACAAAGTTTGGCTGTTTTTAAAAAATTTATTGTAGAGACAAGGTCTCACCAAGTTGCCCAGACTGGTCTCGAACCCCCCAACTCAGGCAATCCTCTCGCCTTGGCCTCCCAAAGTGCTGGGATTAAAGGTGTGAGCTGCCGCACCTGTCCTCACACGCTTTTTTGAACGTGCACCCACCCCTTTCCCAGTCACTCCTCTGAGGTCGAGGAGCCGGTCGCCAGGCAAGGCAATGGAGTCCTGGGACCAGGAGACTGCGGGACCGGCTCACGGCTTCGAGTCTGTCATTAGGACTCCATCATGCAACACCCAACACAGGCTACATTGTGATCTTGAGACTTGCTGGCTGCTCACTGCAAATTTTAGGGCACAAAAAGACAGCCTTAAAGCAAAACATGTCAGACATTAACCTGTTATGCAATTTTTCTGTTACATAAAAAAAGGGTCTCAGTGAGGAGGTACAGATTTAGTAAGGATAAAATAACCTCCTCTTCTGAGGTTTTGATCTCAAAAAACATCTTCTGACAAAATCAGCACCAGCTCAGAGTTCCTCCATAGGTGAAGTTATCCAAGGCAGCTGGAGCTGGGGGCCTCCTGAGCCTCCCTGCCTGCCCCACTGCTGTCACAGCTCAGTGGCCGGCGCTGACTCTGAGAGCCCAGCTCTCAAGGCCACACAGGCCAAGCTGGCTGCAGGATCCTCGCAGGAGCTCCTGGGGAGCCGCACTACTCCTCGGAGCCTCGCCCATGCTCCCTGCCAGTCCTCACAGCCAGGGCACCGAGGCCAGGGCTCAGGCTGAGACCTCACAGCTGGGCCAACTCAGCAGGCAGTGAAGGCCGCCAGACCAAAGAGCCACGGGAGGAAACCTCACTGGACACGCCCAAGGTCCTTGGTCTGTACATTTCACAGAAGGAGCAATTCTCAAACTCCTGGCTTCAGGCGATCCTCCTGCCTCGGCCTCGCCCCGGCAAGGAAGGAGTAATTGTGAGAAACAACTTTCTGGTTTATTAATAGCCTTGTCTGTGGCCTTGGTCCCTCAGTGTTTAGTAAGGTAAAATAAGAAGAAAGCATAAATTAATGCTTGCTGTGCATTACCTTTTGATATGCTAATGATCTTTTTTCTTTTTAAATAGCTATACTTTCCAAATAATTAAGAGATTTTAAAATAAGAGCAACCCACCTCTTTATGCTGGCTCTAACAAAACAAGGAGGGCTTTTCTTCTGTCCCCCCTCACCCCTCACCCGCCCAGCCATCACATGATGTTTTGCATGAAACACTGCTCTCCAGAACGTGTTCAAGTATATTTACTCTTTATTGCATTCCTTAATTTGCATGAGAGAATATTTATATTTTTCAATATAGTTCTGGACGAAACACAAAGACGTTGACCTCATTCAAAGAGACACAAGTTAACACAATGTGTGCTGCGTTCATGGAAGGAGGTGAGCTCTTATACAGCCGGAGGGAGCTGGACCACAGGCCACCAGGGTCACAGAATTCACAACACAACCACACAACCACATCTTCAGAAGTCAAAAGGTGAGCGAGGGAGGGAGTCCCAGAACAGAGTGGCTGGGATTCATGCGTCCCACCGAAAGTAGAGATGGCAAGACCTGGGGGTGGGGTTTCTGCTTCCCAGCGTGGGCAGGTGATGGCCATGCCCCAGGGCCACCGTGGCACCAGCCTCCGGTGGCTTCTGGCCGTGTGTCCTCGCGTCTCAGCAGCAGGGGGGAGAGTCCAACAGCTCTCATCACCTAATGCGACAAATGGCTGCATTCCTTCTCAGGTAGGTACACGACAGATGACGCCAGGGCTCACGAGTCCCCTTCCCATTGCAGGGAGCATGTGGGGGTCCAGGAAAGGTGCTCCGTGTGCTGGGGTGGCCTTCAAGGACTGAGGGGAGGTGGCTAGGGGATGGCTTACGGTTCTGGAGAAGAGCACTGCTGCAGGTGCCAGACAGCACAGAGAATTTAACGCAAGGACACATTCCAAGTGAGTCACCAAGGAGAAAATAAAAACAGCCGCACTAACAAGCCTCTAACTTCCTTCTAAGGAGCTGACCCACTTAGAGTTGGACGCTAATTAGTGCCCAGAGGTTTGCAAATCACTCTATTAGAAGCCTCCTTTCTGTTCAGGGGTGTAGCTTTTCCATACCATCTCGCACCGTGGAGCAAATTAGCTTCATGAAGGGGCAGCCACAGGGAACGCAGTAACCACCTGACTCTCTAAGAAGAAAGACTTCCTGATGGCAAACATCTCTGGGAACAGCATCCTGCATGTGCAAAGCCCTGATTTCTGCCCCGTTTGGGGGAAAATCTCTGATGATTTCCCTGTGTGTTCAGGAAGGCGGCAAGAGTCTCCCGGAGCGGTCTGGCCACCCTGCCCCGCACAGGGAAGGTCTGCCTTCTATCGGCCGCCGTAACCACACAATGCTCGCCACGCAAACCGAGCCCACACCACATAGGGTCCCTGCACGGGAGGTTCCACAGAGGGACTGAGCAGGGAAAGGTACGCACAGCGTCTAAAGCAGTTCGCTGCCAAGGACACCAGGCAGTCTCTAGCACAGGGGGCGAGTGGAGTGTGTGTGTGTGTGATCGCAGCAGTCATGCAGCATTGAAGGTAGACAACGGCTCCCTCCAGGGTCTGGAGGAAGGGGTGAAGGTCCCAGGCCAGTAAGCCCAATCATGTCCCTTGGTCACTGTGTGGCAAACTGTCCACATTCAATCAAAGTCGAGGGGGCTCCTGCAAGAGAAAGACCCAGCCCAGATGAGAGCCCACCGAAGCCCTCGGCCCCACGCCCCTCAAGGCGCCCCACGGGGCTCTGCTTTTTCCACTGTTCATCGCTCCAAGATGCGCCCTCACAGAGGACAACGGCTGCAGCTCCATGCACACAGAAGCAGTTCCGATGAACATGTGCCAGCACGCTCTTCCCCGCTGGGACAAGGAAGCTTGCGAGGCGGGACAAGGGCAGCAAAGCAGTGACACAATCAAGCCCCTCGCCGACTTCCCAGACTGACAGCACAGGGCAGGTCCTCACGCATGGACACAGGCCCCTGAGAAGGACCGTCACGTGTGCACACACTGTCCACCCTCCTGGACCTGGCACGGGCTGGTGTGTCCGCCTATGGACAGGGTCACATGGTATGTACTTACGTTCCTTCTTCCCTTAAGAGGGCCAAGAATTTCCTCACACGATACTCAGGATCCATCTAGACACATCAGAGAGAGAGAGCAGGGATGGTTAATGGAGCTTCCCAGCAACTCTGCCCGTACCCCATGCCCCGGAGACGCTGGGTTTTACACGTCCCCCACTCTGCTGAGTCACGGAGCGTGTCACCAGCACACTGACTGGGCTCTGAGAGCAACAGAGATCACATCATTCAGAGAAGTGATGGGCTTCCTCGTGCGAAGAGCCTGAGCACTGGACCCGCCGGCCATCACAGGCGCCCGGGCAGAGTTGCCCTGCGCTGGTGTCTGGGGGCGTCACTGTGAGGCTGGGACTAGGGGCTCAAACAACACCCACCTCATCTAAGACGTAACGTCTATGAAAGTTGGACCAAACTTACAGAAACCAAATTGAGGTCAATTAAACAACTCATAAATGGTTTCATAAGTTCATAAGTTCATAAATGGCTTATGAACCCCATGTAACCAACATGCAGATTGCCGCCTCAGTGTCTCTGGTATGGCTGCCGCTTCTCCATTAATAACAAAGTTGTGCTAGAACTAAGACAGTGGGAGTACTGCAGGCTCCCATGTGGCCGCCGCTGACCTGGCTCTGGCAATAGCCCGCATCGCGAGTCTGAGCAGACCCCCGCCTCCAACGCCCGGCTAGGAGTGCCGCTGCTGGACAGCTACTGGCTTCCGTTTTCTACCGACAGTTACACTAACTTGTCAAAATGACATTTTATTCTCAGCAGTTCGCTTGAGAGGCAAAGCTATCCAGAAACTGATCATTACAAGCAACTTTAATTCCTGAAGATGATTTCTTACTGCAAGAAACACACCTCTCATTTTGGAAATAGGTCCGAGGCCAGGAGAAACCTCCCTGCCCTCCAGAAACAGCCTGGAACCTTGCACAGCTGGATTCTCCCGACAAACACTTCTATTAATTTTCTAAAGACTTCGTCTCTGTTATCCCAGAAAAACACTGAACAGAAGTCTCCAATGTATCAAAGTTAAGAGGTCAGACTACAAAGGACCAAAAGAAAGCGTGAACAGCTAACACGAGAACGTTCTTCCTCCTTGGGAACAGAATTACGTACGAATCAACTGTCAAACTCTCGAAAAAAAACGGGGCTGGCCTAAGATCGGCTGCCAGCACTTGCAGCTCCGCGCCCATTAAATATGTCTAATATGTGGGAGCAGCAACTTACTGCCTCGCCTGTAGCTATGGAATTAAAACCAAGAGAAAGGCAGGAAAACGTAATCTAGATAAATGACTCTATCCCCCCAGGTGACACGCAGTCAGAGCAGATCCGCGGCCGTGCAAGTTTTAACAGAGTCGCGTGTGGCGCTTGGCGGCTTGGCTCACATGCCGCTCACCCGCAGCCCCCTGCCGCTGCACCCGGGCGGATCGGAGGGGCGTGCCAGCCCGCCAAGTCCATCTGACGAGGGGCACAGCTTGGAGCCTGCGGCATTGGCAGCCACATCCAGCCTGCGAGCCCACTCCACCCACGGGCACAGGGAGCCTGAACTCACTGCCGAACCGTGGGTGTCGGGGTGAGGGCTGGGGCTGGGGAGAAAAGCCCAGATTTTTCTTTGCAATTATAGATAACAAAACCCGTGCCGAAACTAAAAAAAATAAAATAAAGTAGCACTGACTATCTGACAGATTTATCTTTTACAAGGAAAGAACAAGTACACCTGTATTTGCCACAAATAAGCCCAAGCCATGTGATATGTAACTTTAACTAATGGCTCACGTGGAAAATAAACTGGCTTTAACAGAGCCCACCTGAAAGTTCAGTAGTCAAATCAGCTGAAAACCACAAAAAACTCATTTTACAATAAATTTACCAAAAAAGATGAGAAAATGTTCACGCCACGTTTCTGGCAGGTCCCTGGTCCAAGAGCCTGTGTCCTGCGTGGCTGTGAACCGCAAGCGGCACCTCTGTCATCACGGCACATGTGGCGGGGTGCGGTGGGACCGACTGGTAATGTCTAAGGCCCTGCACAGAGCCCGTTGGCCTTGAGGACTGGGGCACATCAGGCTTGCGAGATACTGACTGAGCACTTACTCGTGCCGGCTCTGCAGGTTGCAGAGTGGGAGAGCCCAGGTCTCTGACCTCATGGGGCTGGTGGGGAGGCCTCCGTTATCCAACCAGGTCGCCAGAGGGGACAGGAAGGCACAGGAAGGGTGCACGGGGGTGGAGTCCAAAGAGAGGAAAGGGAGGAGGCCAGTGACTTGAGGGAATCCCAGAGAAGGTTGTTCCATCCCACCAGGCAGTCGCGGGCTCACTCTCCTAAGGGACCCTTGAGGTTTCAGCCCTGCAGCAGTTTGCATGAAATTTCCAGGAGCCCAGCAAGGAAAAGATACACAGAGCCTGAATCCGGTCTGTACATTTCAATTAACTTGCCCCTCAAACAGTTTCCAGACCTAGTTGGTGCATGCACAGGAGCTCACAGATCTCTCCGTTCACACCATGCCCCTCTAGGAACTCACAGACCTCTCTGTTCACACCATCCCTCTCTAGGTCCTAGACCTCTCTGTTCACACCATGCCCCTCCAGGAGTTCATAGACCTCTCTGTTCACACCATCCGCCCCCAGACCTCTCTATTCACACCATGCCCCTCCAAGAGTTCACAGACCTCTCTGTTCACACCATCCCCCTCCAGGAGCTCATAGACCTCTCTGTTCACACAATCCCTCTCCTGCAGCTTATAGACCTTTTTGTTCACACCATCCTCCCCTGCCCCAGGAACTCACAGACCTCCATGCTTACCCCATTTCTCTCCAGTAGCTGGTAAGCCTCTGCTCACACATCCTTCTTCAATAGCTCACCAACCTCTCAGTTCACACATCCCTCCCCTGCACTCCCTGGCTGTGTAGTCTCGAGTGGCTCACAGACATCCCTTGGGAAACAACACATCTTCTCCAAAATGAGCAGCAGAACAAAGGCTCTCTGAAGTACTTCCTGTTCTGCGATCTAGTGACTCCCTGAATTAAAGCTAAAAGTAACTTTATAATCGTTCCTCCTATTCTTGAACCTTAAGATGTTAAGAAAAGCCTAACCTGAATACATTAAAAAAGTGGCAACGGAAGTATCGAGAGCTCGGGTGGACGTGAAGCTTCTTCCGCATTTGGAACCCATGGAAGAGGTGGCGCCTCACCTGCAAGGACATCTCGATCAACATGAGGAGCTTCTTGATTCCTATCCACACCTTTCTCCCTTTGACCTGCTGCGCAATGATGGTGCGCTCCTTGTCCTTGAAGTTGCCCAGAAGCTACAAAAAACGATAAACAGTAAGGAAAGCACTTTTACATACGCACATCAACGACAGTAGTTAATTCTTACATTCCCCCTTAAAAGAACAGTTGTAAGTACTACCTAACTGTTCAAGCAGAGAGAATTCACTCCTATTTTGAAACCCAGTGTGACTTTTCTGAGCCTACTAACTGCAATCATGAAAGTGAAATTGGTGTTTTTTTGGTTTTCAGCTGGGAGCCTCTCTCTGTTGCCCAGGCTGGACTGCAGTGGCACAATCACAGCTACTGGAACCTCGACCTACTGGGCTCTGTGATTCTCCTGCCT